GTATGTATGTATGTATATGTATATGTATGTGTATGTGCATGTGTATGTGAATGTGTATATGTTTGTGTATATGTATGTGTAGGCATGTGCATACGTATGCATATGGTGAGCCTTACATTCGTTGTGTGGTAAAATTATCTGTGAAGATTCGGCATGTTTAGTATGGCTTCGGATGCTTAGGTTGGAGGTCTGGAGTGTAAGAACCCGGTAAGTATATTGCGAGACGCTAGTCTTTATGTTGCGGGACGCTAGTGCTGCCTACAAAGCACGAGTGACTGTAGAAGGATGCGGCGCTCCGGATTTTCTGATAGTAGTTCCAACTTGGCGTGACAAGCAAGTACTTTATTCTTAGACTTCCCGCATCTTATGTAAACATCGTAAAAGGCATCCCAAAACCCTATTCTGGAAGTGCCCATAAGTACACTCATTGTTTCCCAGACCCTCTAGATGATCAACGAATGGAACCCACCCACCCCACACAAAACCCCAAAGAAAAAAACAAAAACATACTACATTGTGAAAACTAGGGGGCATATTGGGATGTTCCATTTCTTGGTTCCTTTAGGGGTCTGGGTTCTTGTTTGTCCTCAGGCTTTTTCTCTCTCCCTGGGTGTCTCTGAGCTTGAGGACCTCTTGCAGGAGACATTGAACTATTGGCTTGCCTTTGGCTAGCTGGGAATGAAGGAATGGAAAGGAAAATGGAAACTACTACCACAGGACACTACTATACTGGATTATATAGGGACTCCTATGAGGACCCTTTCCTTCAGTCCTAGCTAACCAAAGGTAAGTGTAGTCAGGACTCGAGTTTGGGAGCTTAGGGCCTCTGAGTGGGTATGGCACCTTTCTGGGCACAGTCCTAGTCCTGCAGCCGGGATATGAAACATGTCTCCCTATGTCCATCGAGCCCTATCTCCTGCAAAAACTCCCTGGAGCCCTGAAGCGCAAAATGGTAACCCGCCAGCCGCAAACTCCCTTGCACCACCTGTAACTGCTCCACATCCCCTGCCGCTACGTGCATGACATGGCCCCTACAATCTGGACCCCAGCCTCTGAACCCCTACTGTCCGAAAGCTACCATGGAACCCAACGAAGTCCCCAATCGAGAGCACAATCATCTTTGCAGGACCGCCTTGGGGGTCCCATCTTCGTTTGTGCGTGTGCGTGTCCTGATTTACTTTCTCAAAAGAATCCTGTCATACGCCCTAAGGGTGGCCCCAACAATCAGAACCCGAAAGCACTGTCCGTGAGGAGCCCGATTTTGAAGAATGATCCCCCTTAAAAATCCCGAATAGGTACCACCATAATTCCATCATAATCCCTAGATACTACTGTATTAAGGCTTTCAGAGGCACCCTACTTTGAGAAACCCCCAGATCCCTGTCATTTTGCATTTTCCGGTCCATTTGATTCTCCACTATGACGAGGCTGATATCCATAAACTTTTATGACCCGTATATACCCCTCTTGATCCATACCTGCCCCTACTGTATATCGCAACCCCTACATTATCCCTATATACCCCCTACTTTCCCTAAACCCTTCAATATTTTGAGAATCATGTTGGCCAGCTGGCAGAGGCTCGGCCGCAGCTTCGCCACTGCCCGGGCGTACCTCTCTTGGCTTATGCAGCTTACACAGGGGTTTCAGGATTTGGTATAGGGCCTAGCCTAATATAGGGCATAAATGCCCTAGCCTGAAGGTGGGAAGGCTATCTCCCTGGACACGGCCATGAAGGACCACGCTATTGCTCCTGTGCTTGGGAGAAGACGGCTACGGGACTGTAATGTCAACAGTTTTGGGTTGAGGGCAATAAATTGCACAAGGAAACTTCTTTGGCCTTGGCGTTGGGCCCACATTTCGGATTTACGTTTAGGATTCGCGACTGCGCCTGGAACATTGTGGCTGTGGTGAGCACCCAAGCGATGACCCCGCTTCTGTGGACCCTGACCACAGCAAAAGGCACACATCTTAAACATCTCTCCTCAAAATTGCTGACAAAACAGCCATGAAAAGATCAGCACAAAGAACGGATGTGATCCTAGGCCAGCAGCTGTGAGCTCATGAAAGGTCTTTCAGAGAATTAGCGAAACAAAACGAAACTGGAGTGGCCTCCTGATGTTGTTTTACTACACCTGATGTTGTTTTGCTACACTACAGAAACAAAGCTCTCAAGACTGTTGAGTGGCCTTGATGTTGGTCTTCCGAAGGATTCCATCCACCTTCTTGTCCTCAGCAGGTCAACCTACTCTACAAAGCCCAAGCCCTCTACCCCAAAGTGGGAAACCCTACTGCTCACGCTGGCCTGACATTAAACTTACGATCCGGAATCTCTTCCCAAGCGGCAAGTGCAGATGGCTCTTTCTCCTCCACCTCCTCGGCCTGGGCCAAGCACCTGCGACTGCGGGTGGGGACCCAAGGCAGGGCTGGGTTTGAGGTATAGGGCTTGGGCAGGGTTCAGGTTGGGTATCGGTCTGGATGTAAATGGAATGCCCTAAGCTTCCACCCAAAAAACTCATGGAATATGGCTTTGGGTATGTTATAATAAGGTCCCTATATAACTTAAGGGGGACGCTATACCTCAAACCCAGCCCTAAAACGCAGCCTGCACGTCTTCCGCCGCCCTGCCCGTAGGGCTGCTGCAGTCGCGAGAGCCGCGCTGTGGCAGTGAGATGCTGAAGAGGGCAGCTGGGGGCCTGAGCTCACTGACTCATGTAAAAACTGGGTTGCCGTCAGGGAACTTTTTTAAATCGCTATAATAAGGAAAGCCTGTTTCTTACTATATACCCATAATCTGTTAACTTAATTAAGTTCGTTAACAGCAACCCAACAACTCATGTAAAAAAGGTCAGGGTGTCGGGGTTGGGGTGGTGTAGAGATATCTTGGGGCATGGAAACGAGTATGGAAACTACCATCCGACTTAGGGTTTAGAGAGGTATGGCTCTGGGCCTTGGATGAAAATCTAGCACTGCCCACCGGGGCTTAGGGTTTAGGGTTCCCCAATGGTCAGGAGAGGTACCTCTTAGGGGAGAAACCCATTAAAACACACAGGTATTCATATAGTACATGCTTACTATACCATATAAGGCTTTCGGATATTAAAACAGTGTATGGGGATCTATACTGGGGTCCCCCTTTTTTGGGCATTTCCATAAAAGGCACCTAAACCCCTAAACCCGCGCCCCCTGAACCCCAAACCCTCAACCCCTAAACCCGACCCTTTGGGACCGTCAGCCTCTGCCAGAGCGTGCCGGAGAGGGGTGGCCGGCACTCCAGATTTGCGGTCGCGCGAGAAGGCCATGGAGGCTCAAGCACATGTTGGTTCAGGGTTTAGGGGATGTTATAAGGGACTCTATAGGGTTTTGGGTTTAGGGTCTAAACTCCTTCAGGGGGGTTAGGGGATTGTAAAGGGCACTACTATAGGGGATATTAAGGGAGGTACTAGGAGTTTAAACTGTAGCTCATGATGTTGGCACCCTTGGGTCCTGGGGTTTTGGTTGGCATTTATGGTGTACAGTTCAGTGCTAAGAAGCTACGAATGTTCGGCAATTCATGAGGTCCACAGCTGGCGGTCCTTGCATGGGTGCCAGGCACGCAAATGGGCGCCGAAGCTTCTCTATCAATAGCAGTGTGGCACGCAAATGGGTGCCGAAGCTTCTCTATCAATAGCAGTGTCTCTTGGTAGAAGTCTTGATCGAGTTTTAGGCAACTCATTCTGAGAGACCCTTTCGCCAGTCGCACTAGCCTGTTTCCTCTAGTACTAACGTAAAGAGCATGAGATTCAATGTGCTTACGGGACTTTGTGTTGAAACCCATGTCTCATGCCTAGTGCTGCGGACCACGCACGAAGATCACGGCAGAGAGATGTCATTATATCTTGCCACATGGAAGCTTCGAGGCCCTGCACAACTGGTAACGTAGGCAATGACATCATGTCAATGATCCTACATGACAATTTTTCCGCACGATCAACCCCAAATTTCTGAAGATTTCGACATCCAGCTTCCGAGTTCCCACGCTGCACAAAGTCGTGTAAAGGTCAGGGTCGTTTTATGTGGAGTTCAGGTTTGGCTTGCAGAGCAATTCCTGGATCCACGTATGTTAGCAGCTTGACAACCATCAGTTGATGCTGCCCTTACACTTCTGGCAGGCCGCCGCTGCGCATCAAAAACCTGCAGCTGCAGCCTCTACCTCCACAGCCTGCTCTCCCGTTTCTGGCACGTCAATAGGTCTTTTGGTGTTGCGGGGTGAAACGCTGTCCTTGAATTAGGAAAGCGTGTGCACTTTCCTTTGGCGTGTCGAGTTTCTGCAGCTTCCCTTAGGCCTCGAAACAGATTGTCAGCAGACTGTGCCAACAGAGCTGGCTTACAGACCGGTGAAGAGGAACAAGTAAGGGAAACTGATGGACACACCATGAACTACGGTGGGCGCTGAAGGTTTAAGTGCTATGTGGTACTTGTGGCCAATGCCCGACAGCTTTCAAAACCTCAAGCACCCCAATGCCACGATGCAAGTACATGCGTAATAGAACAACCAATTACGTGAGGGAAATACTGTGCTCTAGAGGCACAACATAAACATACCTAACTCCTGGCTGTTCAGCTGTAAGTCGGGTTAAAGCTCAAATGTTGACCCCCTAACAATCCCCCGTATTCTTTGGAATCTAAGCCTTCTTGCTCAGTCAAGCAAAACTGCCGGACAGAAGCGAGTCTAAGATAGATGTGGAAAATGCAACCACAACAAAGTTTCAATCTTCTATGGCCTTCGTCACCCCTGGCCTTCACGTAAGATTTCCTATGGATCCCTAGCACCCCTTTTGACATCGCCAATTTCTCGGGGCTCTGAACCATTCCCAATAAAACATGCCCATCTTGAGGTTCAACGTCTACATGTAGGTACCTTTAAAGGGGGATACAGGGGTTACATAGGGATTTTATAGGTGTTATATAGGGATTATATAGGGGTTATATAGGGATTATATAGGGGTTCTAGAGTTGTCTTAAACAATGGCCCGGATTTTGGCTTTCACTTCCCCACCGCCGGCCGCGGCGGCTACGGGTGCAGCGGGCTTGGGTGGCCCGGCGTGGCAGAGGGCCTTAGGTTGCAGCGCCTAAGCCCTAAACCCTAAACCCTGAACCCTAAACCCTAAACCGTTTAGGGATTGGTTCTAGGAGGGCATTTAAAGAACAACTTCAGCGGAATGTCAGGGTGGCCTGTGTTTTTTTGATTTGTAAGCTTGAAACCATCATGTGGTAGAATCTCAAAATCATGGGACCCCAATATAGAGCCCAACATGCTATAATCCTTGCTATAGGCCCCAATATGGTACCCCTAATTCTAGGAAACCCCCATGTTGTGGCGTTCAGATGTGTATGAATGGTCAAGCCTAAGCTGGCCCAGCAGAAATTAAATCAACAAGGGTGGGGGGCCGGAAAACCCCAGAGAAGCTGCACCCGGACAATCATTTCCAACAAACTTGGTTAGGCACAAAGGGTCGTTTCCCAAAAGAAGGGGACCCCAATATAGGCCGCAAAAGACTACAATCCTTATGATGGGGATCCCCAAAGAGGAACCCCAAGATTTGGGAAACCGTAAACTCTATATATCCCTATATTATCCCATATACCCCTATATAATCCCTATGTAACCCCTATATCCCCCTTTGAATGTACCCCTAAATTTGGGAAACCCCAAAGGAGGCCGACCTTCCCGAACATGACCGTTTAAAACACCTCTAAGCAATCCTAATAGGGATTATAGGGGATATGATAGGGGTATATAGGGATGATGGAAAAGACAATGGAAACGACTACTTAGGCTTTAGGATTTAGGGGGTACACCCATGATGAAAAAACTCCTCCTTCTTGCTTTAATATTAGGATCCCAAAAGAGCCAGGCTTGCAAGCCAGGGTTCGTGGGTGGCCGTAAGCGTGCCAAGAATTCCCAACAGAACCAGCAGGGCCTGTCCAAAGACCAGAAAGATCAGGGACAGAGAGCCTTGCCAGGGCGCTCGTGGTGGTAATGACATATCGTTTCTTACCTTCTTGGCTAAGCCGCTGATGTTTGGCTAGCTTGGCATTCCTAGATTAAGCTGCTTTCAGCGACCTCCTTATGTTGTCAAGGTAAACTACGTTTGAAAGTCATCGCCTCACAAGCTATACAATCTTTCCATGGGTGGAGGCACAAGCTAGGGCAATTGGCTTTAAGCGTTCGTGGGGCATTCCCAATGCTGTGCAAACAGCTGCAAGCGAACCTGCTATATGATGTACCTTCTGATGATTCTTGGAAGTCTCGGTGCTTGGCTTGGGGTGAGCTTAGCCTAACCTTTCAGCTCATGGAGAGCATTTGCAGTCGGAACCATGTCCCCACTGATACAACCTAGTCAGGAGCCGGAGGACAACACAGTTGAGGGGTGGAGGCAAAGACTGAATACAGGGATTCAGGGTAGGACGGTTTAACCCAAGTTCGAGGTGTGCCGAGAAGCTAGGGGGAAGAAGGCCTGAAGCGTTTTCCGGCTATCTGCGCCATGCGCACTACCATCTTTTGGGAAGCCAATAGACCTCCCTGTGTAGAGCGTCGTGTGTGAGAAGGTCTACTGAAGTGCCGCCCTGAACAAGTTCTGGGACACTGACCCTGCTGGTTTTTCAGGATCCTGAGGCATACGTAGTTGTCTCCAGCTTGCAGAGCCCGTAAATATGGCCATCAAAAATCAGAACCGCTGCTGGCTTGACGTCCAAGAGCCAGCATACAAAAGCGCAAGTCGATGCGAAGCTGTAATCTCGGTCCCGAACACAACCTAAGATGCAACTTCTACCTGGACCACGACACAGAAAGGAAGATGGGCGTAGCAGAACGTACGGCTGCCGTTATTTTTTGTGCCAAACCAAGGGCATACCACGAGGTAATATATATCTCTTTTAATTAAGGGCCACATTGACGTGGACGACCCTATTTTACAAGCTCTTAGAGCAGGGTTGGCGAAGAATCAATCAGTGCTAAGGTTTACTAGGTTACCTACTGTAGGGGCCCATCTGAAGAAGCATATTCTTTTCTAGCTAAATTACACAAGGATTGTTAGGGACACCATTGGTAGTTTTTCCAGCTTCTACAGTGCATCCGCCCTTTGAAGACTTGGCAGCTGCATGTATGCGGATTTAGGAACTCAACCAAGTAGTGTCTCTTGGTGATGTACCTGGGTACGAGTAGATCCTTCTTGTAAAAATCCATACCTCAAAGGAGGATGCTCGATTGTAGGGCTTGTAGGGGGCATACTATCCTCATTGAATATTCTACATTATTCACCCCTACATAGCCCCAATCTCCAATTTCAGTTTCCAGTTGATTCTCCATTCCTACGAGACTCGGACTACAGTCCCTCCGGCAGACAAGACTACTCACATGCCAATGGTATAACCCTTTTTCACCCTGTAGAATTCTTACATAATCCATCTATATGGTAGTCTGCAGAAATCGGGGAAAGCGCATATAGACCCCAAAACACTACAATCCTCATTATAAGGTCCCCCCAAAAGGCACCCCTAGTTTTGGGAAACCCCAACATATCTCTCATAGCCCCTTATGGTCCATTGCAGCCAGGCGGCAGGCTTCCAGTGTGGGTCGAAGCCCCCCCGGGCGATGTATGCGGCCTGGGCAACTTCTTTTCACTGAAGGCAAAATATGGCAATAATACATCCCACCCCCCCGCCCTATTTGCTCGCACCCCACAGCTTGAACTCATGGACGGCGCAAGCCGTGGACTAATACATGAGAAGACTAAATCAGAACTCCTCACACCCTTGGACTAATAGGGCATAGCTTGGACTAACGTGAATGATCCTCGGACTACTGGGGCCAAGCGGGGACTAATGGGCCCCTGATAAATTAACTAAACCCTAAACCCTGAACCCCTCACACCCTTGGACTTCCGGGGCGCAGCTTGGACTAGTGGGAACGATCCTCGGACTAATGGAGCGATGATAAAATCAAATCAGATCTCCTCACACCCTGGGACTACTGGGGCATGGTTGGACTAAGGGGGCCTAGATTGGACTAAGAAAAATAATAGTAGTAAGAATAAGGAGGTTTGAGTTTTTTTCCAGGCGCTCAAATTTAACTTTTGTACCCGATTATATTCATAATTTGCTAGCTATAGGGCCCTTCCTACAGGGGCAGGGGAAAGTAAATCCCCCGACTAAAAAGAGTGGCAGGAAACTAGGGCTATAATCCAGACTGCGGAGTTTGAAGATTAACCTTTGGGTTACGCATGTAGCTTCTAGGTATCAATGGAATAATGGATGGAAAAGAACATGGAACATGAAATGGAAAGAGGGATATGGTGGTCTATGGGGTTCGGGCTAGGTAGTTGTATTATGAGACGCTAATATCAATCCTCATGGTCGTAGTTTTCTGCAGGAGAAAACCTGATTCTGACTTGGGTCTTCCCTGCCTAGGCAATATCGGTACTGTTCTAGTGGCTAAGTTTAGGGATTAATCTGACACACAGTGTACTATGCTGAGAGATCAACACTGACTAACTGACAGCAAACCACAAGTTGACTATAGAACCCTAAGCCCCTCTCTTGAACAAAGTACTAAATGCGTGCCTGGTGCATCAGGCAGCAAAGGGCTTAGCAAACCCAAAACATTAACCCCCAACCCTAGAGCCCCTAAATCTTGGGACAGTCCCCTCCTAGGACCTATCCTTAAACGGGACTTCATCAAGGGGCAATCATGACTCCTAATAGTTTTCTCTTACCGTGAGGAGGAATGGCCTAACCAAATCTTGATTAAACTCTAACCCCCTAAACCCTAAACCCCGAAAACCATTAACCCTAAACTCTAAATCCCTAAGCCCTCATCACTAAACCCTTAAGCCTAAACACCTAAACCCTAAACCCCTGAATCCCTAAACCCCTAAATTCCTAAATCCCTAAACCCCTAAAACCCTAATCCGTAAACCCTCAACCCTAAACCTTTAAACCCTAAACACGTAAACCCTAAAGACTTGAAGCTTCAGGCCCAGAAGCCCAAAAGCCAGCCAGGAGAAGGATAGCTAGGAGCCAGGATGTATGCCTGGGACGTAGCTTCGGGTTTAGGGTTTTAGGATTTAGGAATTCAGGGTTTAGGGATTTAGGGTTTTGGTATTTAGGGTTTAGGGGTTTAGGGATTTAGGGGTTTAGGGTCTAGCAAAATCTTCAACATCAGGAGCCCTTTCTGGGGGTCCTGTAATCAGGATTAAAATATGGGGCCCTCCCATTCCTGGAACCCACCCATATGAGAGGCCAGCCCCGTGATGCATGGCTTCTTCTTAGTCTTTCTTCCAACTCTGGGCTCTGGGATCTAAGGCTTTTCGGGCTTCACGAGCGATTGCAAGTCAAATTATTTGGGAAGCAGATCACCATGGAGAAAGACTGTAATATACCATGGGTCCTGTATCGCATCATACTAGCTGAAGAGCCATTTGACCAACCAAGTTGCCGGTAGACGGCCACCGCAAACATGACGGAGCCTTCTCGAGAAGTTTGGCTCTCGGTCTTGAAGGACAGTAGGAATGTGTGGGTCTCAACTTACGGCTCCCAGTAGGGAAATGAGCAAATATGATCACTAAAAAAAAATATTCCCATAGTCCCCACTAACCCCGGTAAGTCAAAGCTATGGGCCTCTCTTTGGGGGCGCTGCAGTAAGATCACAGAGTTTTTGGGGGGGCGCGCAGGGGAAGATTCGGAATCGGACACGTAAATTCATTACACTTAAGCCTATGCACCGAGACTCGCACTTCTGAGCATGCAGCGTCCACATCCAAAACCCAAAACCGGGCGGATTGGAAAAGGTTTTGGGGTGTGTCCCTAACGACAGCTAGATGCAGAATAGCGGAATCTTGGTAACTGCATCACCAGGACGAAACTTTCGACATGCCAAGGTACATCTTCCTGCCGTATTTTAGCGCGGTGGGGTTTCCGGAGGAGAAGGTCCGTTTTACGTGGCCAGCGGGCCGGAGTAATTAAGATCCGGGAATCTATGATAAAGTTCCCAGCGGAGAGCCTGGCGAACTTTTGTCCCACCGCAGTATGCAGGCATCTACAGTACATCTTGCAAAGTCTAAGGCAAAACTGCGGCTGCAGGGCTCCTTTTTACTCTGCATAGAGAAGGACAGGAACTTATTGGAAAATTTATCTAATCTCCCGGCCCTTTTTAATAGGTACGAAGTCAGGCGCCCAGACCTCCTGTGAGCGTTTCATTCCTCACTTCTTCCAAAACTCCGGAGGCTGAAGCTTCATGCAACACTCTGCACCTGAAAGCGCAAAGCCATACAACCTGGACTCTGGATCTATGCAAGTGAATAGAGTGACTTCAGACCTTACATCCGTAAACGTCTTCCATGGCACTTAACAGGAATGTGGCCGCTGTGCCTATCATCAGGTAGTTGGCCTGGAAGTAGGCGATGTTTCCTTGGTGAATAACCAATCTCTAGTGCTCAGGCTTCGGCAGCGTGTGTACAGGTATTCAACCAGCATCATGGGCTCATATTTACAGAGTTCTGGGTTCAGCTTGATATTCCGTCTGCGTTTGCTTAGTAAATACTCGGGCACAGGCCCTCACAAACAGACCCTTCACTGCCAGAGAACGCTCCAAACCAGAAACCGTGAAATCGGTCAACTTCAGCTGGACTGGACTGGTCGGACAGCCCCACACATGGAAGCTTCTCAGAAAGGGGGTGCTGTAACTATAGGGGCCATGGTGGCATTTGGGGGTTATTCAGTGAGTACGGGGTTTTTATGGGGGATTGCGTAGGGGTTCCCAAGCCCGCAAAAAGGAGCCTTCATGCTACCTACGCTGCAACTTTAAACACCAAGCCGTGCCAACGTGGACTTTGTAGCGCTATCGGCAATAGTAGGAGATGAATGAATCCACATACTATAGTAACTATATCGTCCGCAAATTGGTAGGTTCCGCTTTCTTTTCGATTCCCTCCTTCCCTGCCAACAACCAGCAAATATATCCTGCATCCAAAAAATCCCCACAAACCTCCGGTTTCCATGTCGTTTTCCCCTTGCTTTCCATTTGGTTCTCCATTTTTACCAACCAACCAGCGAACCCTAAACCTTCACTGGTGTAAAGCCAAGCGTCTAACAATCCGCTGCAGGAAGTCTGGATCAGAATCCAGGTCTGGGAGCTCGATAGTAAAAAACCTGAATTCCAGGTGTGCAGAGTTTACACCCTGAGGTTGAGGGTCTTATGGCCTACCCCCTGTGCTGGACAGAAATGTCCTTGCATGTAAGTGTAATCATCCCCAGAAAGGGTGCAAAATCTAAGGCTGGACACCCAATGCGAGCAAGGTTAAGGTTGGATTCTGCTGCCCTCACACATACACCATTCACAGCAGATTCTGATTAGGCGTGAGCACAAGAGAAAGCGGTGTCTGATGAGTTTCAAGAAAATCCAGTCCACGTAGTCTGCAAGAACCCCTTACACATAAGCCTTGCATGCATGACTCCGTATGTAATCCACGCGCCAAGTATGCAGCCCGTCTTCATTACAGCTAAAGTTTCCGGAGTGGCTTTTGGCTTTCTGAGCACTGTGTACTCCCATTATAGTAGCTTCCATTTTATTTTCCATTATCCCAATATTACCCCAATATACTATAGTAGTTTCCATTTTCCTTTCCATTATCCCAATTTAACCCCAATATACTATAGTAGTTTCCATTTTCTTTTCCATTATCCCAATATAACCTCAATATATATATACCCTAATATACTACAGTAGTTTCCATTTTCTTTTCCATTATCCCAATACCCTAAACCCAATATCCTTTTCCATAGCTTTGCGCAATGTATGGAGCTTACAGCCTATCACCCGCGTAGAGCACAGGAAACCTTGCAAACCATGCAAACCGAAGTACTCACCACACCAAGGCGCTCTCGCCAGGGTCTCAGCAAACCTTTGCAAGCAAAATGGCCAACAGGTAGGAATTGCTCGAGATGGTGAGCTCAAAACATGTCCTATACTCCGCGCTCCCAGGAGCTACCGAGCATCGAGAGATACCACTAGCAATCAAAATTTGAAAGTCCCTGAGACCAGCAGACCAGACCATGTCTTCCACAAAGGTTCCAGGTTCTAACATAACCATACATAGAGTCTGCGGAAGTATTAACTTCGTGAAGCTGTCACGGAACCTCCGGAACAGTATGCGCAGCTGCAATATTGCTCTCAAAAGGCCTATAGCAATTCCGTTTTTAACATGTTGGAACCCTGAGTCGGATTGTGTTGGCGTAGTCATTTGAGGCTCGGCGCAACTGCTTAGTGCACAGGTCTGACCCATGTGCAGTCTGATGTCGGTTCGCAAGTGCACCAGAAATGAAGGTTTGGAAGAAGGGAGTCTTTCTGGGGTGGTCTACAAGGAGGATATCATTTTGGGGGATATGTAATTACGGGGGACCATTGTGTCACGTTGGGGCCTCAACTCCTGACCAGGTCTGTTCAGGCACTGGTAAACCCATTCAGCATCTGCTAGACTAACATAGCGAACTTGAACCTCTACGACAACTATACAGCTAGCTAGACCTTCTGCTGTTGGATCCTAAAGACACTTTCGCATTCATAAACGTGTCAACGGACAGTTTCACAGCTGACATCAGCAAGCTTGTGTAGATATTATTGGTCGGTTAGCCATCAATCCCTGGGTGCGACATGTCAGTTCCGAAAACCATGGTGTGGTTTCTGGTAGAATTGCGATGTCAAGATCATTGCGCATGTAGTCTGCCCATGAATCTGAATGCACAGCGGCCTCACCCCTTAAAAGACCTCCACCACTTTGTATGATTGCATCCAAGCTCCAACTTGCAGCAGAGGGACTAGTGTAAGGCGCGATTGAAACTTCAACGAGATTGACCTTCCAGCCCGGAATTGTTACAGCAAATGGGGTCGGATTTCGGCTGTAGGCTGTGGGACCTTAACAAATAACCAAGACTGGATACGCCACCGGAAAGCGGAAGTGTGACATCAACCCAAGGCAAGAATCAACTTTTGAGTGCTCAGAAGCAAATATATTTCAATTGAGCAAGCGCGTGTGCTTTTCTCCGTTCTTGTTCTTCCACCTTGCGACGAGGCCTGGGGGTTTCAAACTTGTGTCCTCGGGGTCCTCGGCTGCTCTGCTCCCACTCCACTTCTGAAAGCCCTGCTAATGATTGAAACTTATGATCCATCAAGCCATCAAGTTGGGCAAAAGGGCCTGTGCACATCCCCGTTTTTCAGCCGGGACCTGTATGTGCTACGCCACCAGCTTACATCCCAATAGGCCTGAAGCTTTAAGCCTGCTGCGGACTCCGGAGCCTCCGGCACACGGGCAGTTCCAGAAATGAGGGTCACTTTTTTGGTACCCCTAGATATTAGGTGCCGTAAATACCTGAATGCTACTCTAGAATCAAAGGGGCCCAGAGTGTTGAGAACAGCCCAGATCAGAAACATTCTGCCTTCAAACATACAGTGTAACTTAGCAAGCCTTGGATCCCAAACTGCCTCAGCCTATTCGTCCAAGTACCCAATAATCGTATACTTCCCAGACACCCTCTACTACAATTACTGATACCACCATCTTAAGTACCCAACCAGGGGCAGCTGTCATGCTTAACGAGGCGCCATCTGCGTGGCATCTCTTATCGCCCGAGCTGAGAAGCTCGACAGCTCCTCGATGAAAGAATGAAGGTTGTTACTGTACAGTCTGTGGAGTAGGGCTGTAGGTTCTATTAATGATGGTGTAGGGCTCTAGGTTCTGTGTAATCTCTTCCCCCCTGAATACAACGTCAAACCCCGTCCGCTAAAGCAGCGAGGCATGAAGATTATGCCTCCAAGTTTCTTATGTCTGCTATACATGCTCTGGTTTCCACTAGTGCTACTTCCAATACTACCTCCTTGAGTTCCATGACGTCCTGCTATACCTAGCAAACTTGAAACGAGGGACGGGAAGGAGAGGTCCACGAAGGCACAGCCCCCAGGATAGACCTGTTTCCGCCGCCAGCAACTCCTTCAATCCCCTCATTTCTCCGCACCCAGGAAGCCTGACTCTAAACCAAGTGAAGCCTGGGAGGCTTACTCTCACCCCTTTTTTCATGGACCCCCAAAAGGGACTAAAGCTAAAGGAAATCATGGGGGGTTCCATGTTAGCTTGCGTAGCTAGACCCTGATGCGACCTAGTGTCCGCCAGCAGAATACCAGCAAAGTCCGTTACTGTGGGCTCGGATCCATGGGGCACCGAAGTTGGGAGCTTCTCGTCCTTAGCACGCGCCGTGTTCGAAAACTAGGTTCCCTTCAGTGAGATTGTAAATAGATGAGCCTTGCATCTTTTTACAACGGGCCTGGGTTTCCTGTAGGGTCTATAATCTCCCTCAAGCAGAAAGAATATGGAATTGACCAATATTATAATAAGATCCCCATACCCCAAATTCTATCTACTTAAACGGGGGCTATAGGATTTGAGGCCGACAGTTTAAGTTTGATGAAGCTCCTTTCCACATGCCAAAATCATTCAGCAGACTTTAGGGTGTGAGCTGGAGCCACACAAGCGCCCCCTGCCACCTACGAATTCCTGCTAAGTCTTGGCATACGGTTTCAACAAGCTCCGGTGTCTGCCAAAAAGCAATCGTTGATGCCGGGCTTTTGTAAGATATTTGCAGGCCACCTGTAGCAACTCCAAGCAAACGAAAACCATGCCGTCCAATAGGATCCTGAATAAGTAGAACACCACTCACTTGCTGCGTGTTGCCGGCCATTCCGGAAATATATTGATGATCTTTGAATCGTTCGTAACAAGTGCGCAACCAATACCTCACAGCATGTTCTGTCGAGCCTTGCTTGTAACCATTCGAGCTATAGCCCGAACACCTAGTATCCCCCTTAACAACCCCTATTATACTCCCGGTAATGCACCCAAAAAACCCTTCAAGCAGTTTAGACTATAGCTCATATAGTGTTTTCCTTATTCCCTACCAAGAACCTGTAAGTTATCGGCTCCAGGTTTCCATTTTCTGCTGCCAGGCCGCCCCCATGCGGGCAAGCGCATAAGGCGCAAGTCAAGAGGTGCTCGGCTACTTTGAGCCCCGGCGTCGGCAACCGCGACTTTCACTATTGTCAGTAGATCTGGGGGTTGTAGTGGCTTGCTAGTCTTGATTTTACTAATTGCTTCTCGACCGTTTTGGTCAGGTAGTGTCTGCATGACTGTAATGTTCATTACAAAGCACTGCCAAACCAAGCCCTGCTCCACATACCCTGGCGTATTTTAGGTTGGCCGTCCCCGTGTCTGGTACCAGGAAACTGAAGGGAGCCACTAGATGCCGAAATAGAGCCGCTCTGGATAAGTGCATGGAGAACTGAAAGTGACGGTGCAACATGGGGTCACCTGATCTGTTCGAGGTGCATGTTTGGGGCTGTTGCCTGCTTTCAATTTTGAAGGGAGGCGGGTGGGTCACATGGTCCGGGCCGCCCGTACGAAGAAAGGAGACTCAACAGCTCAACAGGCAAGAGACAACAGGCATCTAATTTAGTTATGAAGCTGGCTGGGCGCTGTAATCCTACTGCCATGATCTTGCAAGTAACATCAAGAGTAGTCTCATGGATTACAAGAGAACTGTGCAACCACAAATGCTGACAGCTGCCGGGTGGCTGCATCAAAGCTGCAGAAGCAAAACAAACATATGAAAACAGTGACGCTCACATCCACGACATAGCTTACACATAAGTATGCAACTTAGTTTCTGGCTGGCGTCCTGCTACTGCTACGCCCTGTGGCAAAAGCAATCTTGTAGGACGAACATGTCAGGCCTCAAGCCAGCGCCTGGATTCTGGAAAGTATCTAGGAACTCTTCAGGGTACAGAGCGGAAAAAAAAGGGACCCTTAAGGGTACATACAGGGTCTATATGAAGATCCCAGGGTTAAAGGCCCCACTGGGGGCCCATCGTTTCGACCTTAGAATTGAATGCGCTACTTTAGATTTATGGCCACTTCTCTCCCAACAAAAGTGGGTGAAGGATGAGGCGGGCCTTGAAGCTGTTCAAGGCCTGGGATTGTCGGTTGCAAATGTGCCTGCTACCGTGGGCTTTGTATCTTCATAGGCTTCAAGCGTCTGTAGTGAATACTAGCCCCGACATGCAGAAGGAGGCGCCCTTTCTAGTCAGCAGAAAATTGCATGGCAGCAAGAAAGGTCCGCGTCGGCATTGCGCTCACGCCCTAGACCTCCCGTCGTAGCTCCTGCCTTCTGGGATCCCGGACTCCTGGTAATGAACAAATGTAAGAAACAAGTGGAACAGGAGGTCTGGCTGTACTATGGGGAAAGGCAAACTGTACTAAGCCCTGCTGGCATCAGCTGTGTGAGTCTGGTCAGGATAAACTGGATGTTCCAGGGCGCGAAATTCTTCCTGATGCCTTCTGGAATGACTGTCCACTAACTCCTCACACAACCGCTTCCGAAAGCAGGGCTCTGCCCTCCTCCTGCATCACATGGGCCTTTTCCCGACTTCGCCAGGTCCCGTCAGGAAACCTTGTAGCTTGGGAAGGCAGTCAAGAAAGCTGCCACGCCCCGATTCCTGGCTTCATGGAGACTGAAAGGCCTGGGGTTGCAGTGAGTGATCATGCGCCCGTGTCACTCCCTCCATGAGAGTGTCTGAGAATCTGAACCACGGTCTTTCGCAAAAGTATGACTTCACATCTTTCTCGCTCACTTAGGGCTGGTGACTGCTTGCTATCAAGTGGTGATTTTTGAAGTCCTTGCAACTTGGAGCAGAGGCTGCCACGATAATCGTCGAATTGTGCTGCTGGGGCTCTATTTGGAATCAAGAGGTTTGGAGGTTTGGCCATATTCTAATCTAAGCCATTGTCGTTCTGTTCAGGCGAGATAAACCCTGCGTCGCAAGGAACGAGATCCAGCGCAAGGGGAGATGCTATGAAGCCTCGTCTTACTCTGCACATGCCTTGACGATATCAGCTATCAACTCACAATGACACATAGAACCGAAGCCGTTTTGATGAAAGTCAGCAGGTAGGGCCACATGAATGTAGCACCATCTAGAAATGTTTAATGCTACCTTGGAAATTACAGCCTGAGGGTAAAGTAGCACCAAGGATGAACAACAAAACTTGATAACGCTTCGCTGTCGTCACAGACTATCCCAAGTGACAGTAACTGACAAGCTAAAACGTGTGTGCTCTCCAGCTCGGCATGCCAAAGTTGGGATTAGAAGCCGTGGCTTTGATTGTTTGTGTGCTTTGTATCGTTAGGATGGGAGGTCCATGTCAGAGCTTCAAATGCACATACTGGGATGTAAATGAAACCGGAAAGAGCGTACTCAAGAAAGCCCAGACACCATTCGAGTGACTCCGATGCCTGTCTAGTTGCGGCTGAGGGTGCAGGGTGCCAGGTTCAAGCGGGTAACCTTCGGGGCAGAATGATTGGATTGGCGTAGGGGTGCACCACAGCAATGGTTAAGGAGTATTTTATCAATCCTAATGGTTCATGTTTTTTCAGGCTCATACATACTGGTGCTGGGGAGTGCGCAGCTTTGGGATCGATACGCTCGTATCATTTACGGCAAGACGAGCCAGTTCGCACGCGGATCACTTGCACCAGCGGTATCTTTCTATAGCTTAACATCATGAACGGAAACTGCACTGCGCCAATCTGCAAGTAGTCCCTTCACCTCGCACATATTTGGGCTCGTGTGTAAGGAATAGAATTTTGAACATTTCAGAATCATGAGGGGGTGTTTTAAGTAAGGGGTAGGGGATTGGTTTTGGATGGTCTTAGTCGGGTAGCCTAGTAGCATCCTAGGCTGTCGAAGCCTGGGGAGCAGTACATATCGCTTCAGCAGAGATTGGGAGCTCCATGCTCCTTCTGGCGAACTACTTCCTGGCGCTGGCCTACCAAGACTTCGTCATCGTGTTTGGTGGTTGAAGGCCTTTCCCATACAAATCCGAATGTTTGGGCACATGGAGTGGCACTGTGATGTTGATAAGCCTCCTTATCATGTTGTGGTGCTTGAGACTGCAGGGTTTGGTGGGTTAGGAGCTTCGGTACGTAATCCGATACCGAGGGTGCAAGTCGGGCTTTCGTTTCGGGTGATGGGCTGCGGTGTCTTTACGGATTGGGTACACTGTTGAAGTACCTTGTTGGCGGTGTTTGCGATTCTTAGTGGAATGACCCGGGTCTTGGGATCAGGGGGCTCAGGGGTTTCAGCCCAAAACGCTTCATGTCGAGTTTGTACATATATAGGGCCACCTCAGACCTGTGATTGCAAGTCATTGAGATTGATATGATGAGGCGGTGTCGCGATTTACGGCCTCCAGGCGCACATGCGGCTTCAGATGAATATGCTCCTCAACACTACGCCCGTGACTCAACGCCACGAACGCATATGGGTGGTTGTAAAAATTATGGTCCCTTTTTGGATCCCTATTATAGTACGGCACCTAATATTTAGGGTACCCAAAAAGGGACCATAATTTGACGATCACGCATATTAACGTGCCTGAAGAATGAACAACCCCACTATCATCGAATTGAGGCAAAGTACCAATTGCCGTCTCTGGGTCTCTGTGAATGGAGGCTGCAGCATCCCGGCAGTGAAGGCGTCGCCACCTTCAGCAAAACATGACTTACGGTACGCTAGCGGCTGCAAACACAAGTTGGGGGGGCAGCAGGAGAATACAAATTCTTATGTAGAGACTAGACTGAAGTTGACTGAAGTTTCAAGGTTTCAATTTCTAGTCAATCCGAGCGGGGCGGCACTTTTAAGTCGATTACGCCATGGACACCTGCAAAGCCGAACAAGACGGGTCTCGATACTAAAGCGCGAACCTGCTGCATGTTGTTCTACAGAGATGTGTCGCATCCCCGGCTGCCATATCCAGAAAAACTTGACCTGGCATGTCCCTGTCAAAACCTTAAATTTTAGCGCTTGACTCATGGTTCTGTTTCCTGGCAGCCTGGTAGACCACTCAAACAGCTGGGTCTGCTCAGGCAGGTCCAAACAATCAGGGGGGAACCTTTGTTTGGGGAAATCTGCGCATGACCTCAGCTGCAGTACATGCTGCTGGAAATCACTTCTTCTGAAACAACAACTGCTCAGACTCTAGACGCCGTTCAACCTCAGCTGCAACAGAGGCAGGAATCATTCTTGCCAGGAGCTACTAGCAAAAACATTGTCCAAGCGTTAATTGGCCCCGTTGACTTGAGCAACAAAAACTTTAGAGAGGTTGACGAATCGAGAAGCACATCCCCATGCTTCCTTAAATTAACACGGAACCCCGACAGGGGACCTACAAATTTAAGTTCCGTGACAGCGGCCTATGGCCTATGGGATACCATTCCTTTGGGGGTTGGGCATGCACTTCTTCGGTATTTTGGTCTGATCTCAAGCAAAAGGAACCTTTTTGAAGCACCTCCAAAAACGTTGAATACTATAGAAGCAAAACAGTCTACATTACAGTCGTATGTTTCTATTGGGCTACCTTGCACTTACTTACAGTGTTCCCAAAATGTGCAGAAGAATCAGCAACTTGAACCCTAAGGCCCGAGGTCATGACAGAACAAAGCCAAGAGAGCAACCAGCAGACTTGCGATGGTCCACGGCGGTTGCCAGCCCTGCGCTGTGTTCAGGGCTTAAGGTATCTGCTTCAGCAAAGCGGACCTCCAGAAAGTGGTGAACTCCTGCGCTGGCCACAATAAGTGCGTCTCAATCTTCCTGCGAGATGTTGTATATTGCCCCAAGCTATGAGCTCGAAAAGAAGGACTTGAGGCTGAGACTGGTGGGGTTGAAGCTGATTTACAGAAGATGGTTACGGATTACTTCAAGTGCCTAGCATTTCCGGCGCTCGCACAATGCAAGCTCTGCGGGCAAGACATGAGGCTCGGCCAGCCGAGACGGACAAGACAAGCCACCCTAAGACTAAGACGAGAAATTAATGGAAGCACACATATTCTCTCAATGAGCGGCCTTGCCATGAACCTATTGTCCGTCAGCTATTTCAGATTGCGATTGTTGGGGGGTCCCGCCCTCGGACGCCACTTGTGCCAACTCTTTCTTTCAGAGGCAATCCTGTGGGAGTTATTGTCCGGCCTCTGGGTGGTAGTCCAGCTGCGTTCGGCATAGCCATGTGTCAACCTGCTTGCCAGCACAAAGTGAGGGTATGAGGGTTTTTGAGGGTCATCTACCCCCTCGGAGGTTTGCCCTTGGGGAAGGAGTATAACACAGCGTGCTAGTACTTCCAATGCGAAGGCTTGCTGCATGCTGCGGAGACGACAACTCGGACCTTAATGCTTCCCTTGCCTGCTCCGCGAAATATGCTCGTGGATTTTCTGTGTGGATTGATGTTGCACAGTTTCCGCATGTAACCATTGTCGTGGTCATGGTGGTGCTTGTCAGCCAGGTGGACAACAACTAGTCAAGCGAGCTAAAAAATCAGTTTGGTTGCTGCAGTCAGGAGCTCTGGCGGACGCGGAAACCGCAGCCCTACACACCAAATTGCCTTTGTCCACACCAGTCCATTGGACCGCTTGCAAACTGCTAAGGCCATGTTTGCGCCTGCGCATGACGTCAAAAAAGTTTGTGTGGCAAAAACTGTGTTTCGTTCAGGCCCCAGCGCTCCCCCTTGCGCGCCTGAAATCTGCCATTCGGAGTGCGAAAGCGCACGAGCGGGGGCTCGAAAGGATACTCCTGTTGCTTGGAATGGGATCAATGGGGCCTCTCTCTATGAGTGGGGGCTATAGTGGTCAAATAGGGAATGAGGAGGGTCATAAATGAGGTATACCAGTATACCCGTCCAGGATCTATGAAGTTGGAGGTGCAAAGCTGGAATCGTACAAATTCTAGCGGAATTAGCTACGGGAAGGCAAGGGGACACATGGAGGATGCGACAACTCTTGGTAGCTAGAAGGCAAGCATGTTCAGGCGACAGCTTTGAGTGGCCCACGTGACTGTTCTCACCTCTTGCCGCGCTGGACAACTCTTACACATCCCTTGGACATCCTTTGTGGGACCCTTGTGGGAAGCTCTATGAACTGTTGTAGTTCAACTTTACTGCCGACTTCTCATATTCGATACGTTTGCCTGTCTCTGTGGACGACTGCGAGACATCTGATATTAGGGCTGGGGTGTTTTACTGACTTGGGGCTCAGCATGCGCCACCCCCAAAGCATTGTCAGGACCCTGTGATTATCATATGAGCGCTACGAAGTCAATTCTGGGGGTTTCTTTCTGTAATGCGGGGGTTCAGGTTACCCTCAGGAACCCCCTGGGATCACTCCCACACCCTTGTAGGGCATTGCCTAACAGAGATACTTCCTCACAGCTGGGCATTGGGGTTCCGAGTTCTAACCACAGGCGACTACATCCATAATAGATAACCGACACTTTGCTGCCCTCATCCCTGCTCGTGTGAACTGTTCAGGTTGCTGGTTTTCCCACGGGGCTCAGGGAAGTGTTGTTCAGATTATCCCGTGATTGAATTAGGGAGCTTTTGCAAACAAATCCTATCCGCATGACACTCCCGGATACATGAAAGTAGAAATTCGTACCACGCTGTGATGTCTTTCCAGAGGGATAAGGGTCCTGACTGTCCCACATCTGGTGCTCACGGCTGGGAGTATGACAATTTGGATAAACCGGCTTGCGAGGGCTACATATAACCCCCACATAACTCCCTGTGTAGACCATTTTCTCCCTTTGATAATATAACAGCTTCATCCAGCTTCCGTGTCTTTTCCATTGTAACCCCGTGCTAATAACTGAACTTGTTGATATGCATGTCTGTGACTCAGCCTGTGAAACTCTGCATCTGCTCTTGGCTTTGTCACTCAGCGTTAAGTTGACATGGAGGCCTCCGGCTTGACAATTTGAGCTTCCCAAGTTGAGAGACTTGGCCAGGACATGAAACTGATTGATTTGCCACTTGAGGCTTAACACAGTATGGGTTGGAGGTTAGTTGTGATGGCCAAAGGGATCTTCAGCCTCCTTCGATAGCTGCATTCATGCCCCCGTGCTCAGATGTGCTCAGTTCACCTTCAGCTCGGTTCGTGGTCACCCTCCAGTTTGGTGTGGTCGCCCCCTTCCTCCGCATTCGGAGCTCAGTCACCGTGGATCTCATCTAGCTGCGTCACGGGTGTGTAGAAGAGGTCTGTCGTGCCAGCCCTTTTCTCCGGCACCGATTCGGGGCTGTGTTTCGCTGTGACTTGCTTGTTGCTTGCTGCTGCGTGGAGTTTCTGCTTCAGCTTCGCTGAGTGGTGTCGGGACCGGGGTGTGTGGTCTGGGTTGACCGGTGGTGTAGTGGGCTGGGATAAGTTTTGTGTGACTGTCTGCGGCCGGCTTGGTTTGTATGCATTGCACCAGGTTGGAGCGGACTCGTTTGAATGTCTCTGAAATGGAAGCGGCCCGCTCAAGTTCGTCGTTCGGAGACACGGGAGACAGCATGCTGTTAGTGCTGCTGCTTTCCCGTGGTTTGGGTGGCTGCTCTGGTTGCCTTCTTACTTTTTTCCATGAGACTATGCTGGCGATTTATGGTCGCCAAAGGAACACCTGATCTTGCAAACTCACACGCAACACACATATCGCTCACCAAAACCATATCACAAAACATACGTCACATGCGCAGTCCCCACATGTAGGCCCCGAACTCCATCCGTCCCTGAGCCCTTAATACCTTGAACCCCGCTTAGGGCTAGTGAGGCTTGGGGTGGGTGTTGGGGGAACACAAAATGCACCCTGGTGTTGCCCGCACGGTTGGCAGTTCTGCGTTAGAGGCCTATTGCGTTTAGGAAGCCCATCCTGCTTGGAAATCACTTTGACGGCAACAGGTACTTGTCAATGGGGCCGTGTCAACTAGCAGTGCTTTAGCTACACATCACGCAAGACTCCCCCCCTATATATCTAGTCATGAGCTCCCTTGAACTTGCGCAAGTGCAAGAAATCCTGGAATGAAGGTCCTTCAACATTTCAAGCTGACCCCAGTAGACGCCGCCAGCATAGGGCGTGTCAGGTGGCCCTGCGGCAGAATCTTGAAGGTGAAGAGATGAAGCCGCAAAAGGCTCTGGGACTCAGGGCTATGGCCTTACCTCGATAGAATAACCATGACTCTCCCACCAGGATGAATTCCTGCAATAACTTTCTTACGACGACCAAGTGAGTCCACAGCAGGGCAGACTGCCGACTGCTGTAAGAATCATCGTGCTTGGAGATGGGTTTGTCCAAAGGGCAGCTACCCTGAAACTCCAGAACTTGACTTAGCGACCTGTCCATGCGTGGCGCTCACAAAAACTCTGTGCCTTCGATGAGGAAGTGCCACTTCATGATGGATGCATCTGGGCCTTCATTCGTCTTTGGCACATGTGAGGCATGTCAGGGCCTACATGGCGGCTCATCCTAAGCAAAAAGTTACCTTCTACTCAATCTGGGTTACATGATTACATGTATAGTTTCCCGCTTTAAGGATAAAAGCTGTGCAAGTGAGCTGTCCATTAGTCTCAAAGTAGGGTAGGGACAGCGTAGGGGTCTTTCCGGAGCAGGGCCGTTAACTTCTTCTTCACGTTTACGGAATGGCTTGGACCCCGATGCATTTGAAAAGCTCTTAAAACAAGAGAGCTCGAATGAGCGGCGAGGTAGGCCTCAAAAAGAAATAGCAATGGGGCCCTTGAACATGGACACCAACAGTTTAGGCTTCGGTCGGCTCCACAACTTCAAGAGGCAAGAGATTTATGTTGAAATCTACAGAACAAGGGTGTTGATCAATGCAGCTACCATGCTTGGATTTCGTAGCTCTGTGCGCTAGCTGGGACTTGGCAGGTCAGTGCACATGTGCTGCTGCTTCAGCCTCATTGCCCTTGCCACATCGCTCTGGTCCCATAACCAACAAAATATCGCTTCAAACGAAGACCTGCAAAATCATGCACCTACTGCGCCTTCTCATCATTGTTGTGCCGGTAGTAGTAGTGCTCAGTCTTCTCACTGCTCAATGCTGCAGCTGGTGCTACAACTGGCACCCCGCTCAAATCTCGCAAGTCACACGCGGACATGACGACATGATTTCAGGTACAGGGGTAGTTATGGTACTGGGGGCTTCGGCGTACAACTCTGCTCATATGAGGCAACAAAGCACAGAGTAGTGATGGTGCGGCCCCGCGGCAGCTCACCCGGATGAATGGCGGTGGGTCCTGCACATCTTTAGACGTGTAGGAAATCGCTGAGGGTCTTTCTTCGTTTTGCAGGTGCATACAGGATGCACAATGCTCTCCAACATTCGCGCTCACACTGACAGCCGGAATCCACTGGATGAATTGTCACTGTGAAATTTTGGGTGTTGCCACGAAGCACACTGCGGGTGCCGAGCTCGACATCCAACTAACTTGATGCCAGCAGTCTTTCAACTTGGCTTCTGAAGAAAGAGGTCGTCCAAAAGATTGCAGGCACGGATTCCACAGTCGTGTTACTTGCTGCAACTTCATTGGGGAGAAGAAAGCATTTTGCTACACACCAATATCCAATACACACCTCAGAAGCACAACGCCAGAAAGCACTCTATTATCACCACCAACCTATCTACCCCCCAGCCTGAGATTGCAAAACACCTGCCCCCCCCAACACGAGTAATGCAGGAGCTTATAATTAGAATAGGGCCTTGGGGCAAATTATGCTCTCGTTGTATAACGCCTGCAAGGAACTACTGCTGGCAGTTCTTGATGCTACATTAAACACCTTATCAATCACTATATAACCTGAGATTCCATGTAGTCCTCCTCCTTCTTTCCCATGTGATTGTCCATTATTGAGGAATAATAGTAGTAACTATAACCCTCAATCCTGAACCCTTAAACCCAAACTCTAAGCCTGTCAACTGTAAACCCAAGCCCTTAAATCCTAATCCCTTAGCCCTTACCCCCTGTGCTGAAGCTTCGCCCAGGGATCCAGATGACCCAAAGCAGGTATCATTCATAGACTTTAGGGCCCAAAGTAGTTTTTTTTGTAGACTTGGATGTTCTTGTGGCCCCGTACAGCATTTCATTCTCCATGTGCTTTCCATTTGATTCTTTGTTGGGATAACATGCGTAAACGTCATTAAAAAAACCCTACACTCAGGCTTCTACATTGCAGGCGAGTCCTTGGTGACGGCATCCAGCTCCCGTCTCAGCCGCTGCGCTGCGGCTTTGGAGGCTGTGCCACGAGGCCTGAGGATGTTTCTGGTTTGCTGTCATCTTACTTTGGGGTTTAGGTTTAGGGAGGTTAGGGTTTAGGGAATAGATAGGGTTTTGGGTTGAGTTGTTTTTGCCAGAAAGTTTGGGGTTTAGGGTTCAGAGGGTTTACTGCAGGCTTGAGTGTTTTGGCTGTTTTAAGGTTTTGGGTTTCAGGTTGCTGTACTAACCAAAGTGTCTGTATTGCTGCTCAGCAACTCAAACTTAGTTACCATGATAAGATACCCAGATAGTTTTCGCTACATATATATATATATAGCTCTCTCTCCTTTTGATGGTAACCATTGTAAGGTTCTTAGCGGCAACCTAAAAACCTGTAGTATGGCAACAGGCCAACAGAAAATGTTTCCTACATGAATGCTTCGGAGCACAAGTATGGCCTACTTGTGTTGTTTAACCTCGCTGTGAGGGTGGTCAGGGTGCAAATAATTTCGAATCCTTTCAAATCGATCTGAGGTACCCTGTATCATAACTATACAAGGAATCTGGGACCATGTTATCTAAGCCCCTGTATTCACCCAAGTGGCCCTGATTCTGGTCTGCTCCAAGGTGTTTTGGATTCCGTGCTCCCTAGACCTGAGACCCAAAACCGAGGTCGCCAAATCAGGAAGTGCTTGAGCGGATCGCATGTGGAGGTTTCGCAAAATTTGGGTTCTGGGGGTTCTTATAGTAAGGATTGTCGTATTCGGGGGCCTACATTGGGGCACCCCTATTTAGGGAAACTACCATGTAAGGGAAGCCCGGCAACTGCGAACGCCGTACCATAAGCAACTTTTTGGGCCACTTGCTGGTCCCGAGGCATGTTGTGTACCATGTGTGCAGCATGACTAGTTCCATCAAAAATCCTGCTGATCAATCTTTCACAACTCAAGATGAAGAAGCTGGTGCCCTAGATTAGTCTAGGAAGGGACGACAACTCCTCATACTTAGACTATGATAACACCTTGGTGCTGTCTTCAACAATAGGGACAAGTCACTATCGGAATCATCTGGTTATAAGGTGGGTTTTCCTATCTTCCGTTGCCAGCCTTAAACCCAGAGGCTATCCCTGCCTGCAACTTTTCACTTTCCAAGCCGTATGAAACCGTGAAGCCTGGAGCTTGAGCTAGACACCTAAAAGGAACAAACATCTATGTATATACGCATGTAGAGGTTGTAGACTATCGGGGTTATACTGGGATACGAAATCAATGGGTACAGATCCTTCGGTGGGGACAGAAATCTAGGCAACAAGAAACCCGAAACCGCAAAGAAACACAACATTTAAATTGCTGGCCCAACAAGATTTTCAGTCTAAGTCCAAGTACTACAGAAGGACAAGAGCACTAAGCACAAAAACCTCTCTGAACCTGAAGCCAATGGAAAAGCCAAAGACATAATTTCCACCAAAAGGGGGGCCCATTATAGCCCCCAACATCTGATATTCCTTCTAGTATGTGGGCCCACAAAGCTCCTGGAAACCACCGTTTTCCAAAGCTGACAGCACCTCTTCACCAGATCCATGTCCACAGCTGCAGCGGCCCAGGTGTTGTAGTTATCCAAGACCTCATGGCTTGGCTGTAAGGCATCGAGGCTTTTAAATTTCAAGGCTGTAGGGTTTAGGGTTTCGGGTTTAGGGTTAGGGTTCAGGATTCCTGGGTGTATGAGTTTAGGATTTAGGGGTCTAGGATTGGGGTCCAGTTAGAGGCTGAGTGGCAGCGTTTCCTGGAGGCAGGAAACGACTGGCTGTATCTTTTGCGTTGTTCCGCGTCGAGGGTTGAAGTCTACAAGCTTATGCCCTCTTTTTCGGCTCCGTTCTGCTGCTCTGCGGTATCCTTGCCAATCTTCGGCCCTAGAAGTCCAAGGCAACCCTAGTTGCAGGCCAACTTTTGCAGAAAAACCATCAGGAAGGGAGAGGCATTCTTAACAAGACTTGACATAAACTGTTAAGAGAGAATGAAGGAATAGGTCCCTGTAGCAACCCCTTCATGATCTTCAAGAAAAATAGCTTCCATTCATGCAGTCCCTATTGACAACCAGCAAGGCTAAGGCCACAGCTGCACTGTGCGGAATGTACCTTGATCAGATGAGGGTGGATGAGAGTGGCTCCGAATCCGGGGGTTCGTCTGGGGGGGTTTCTCACAGGTAACAGAGTGTAGGGTTTAGGGCTTCATCATGAAAGCGTTATGCGGTGTAGGGTTTAGGACTATCATTTTCATCAATATCATTTCTCTTGTGGTGTGTCAGGGGGCATCACTCTAAGATAGGATCGAGATGGATACATCTCGCGGGATGCCCAATCCTGAAGCCTAGGTAGGCATATTGTTTGACATTGGGTTGCTGAGGGTTCTCAATCATGGCAGTTAATGAGACTGGCCGATATTGCTGGTAATCACTTGGGATTTGCCCTACCTAACTTGAACAAGATGAAGACGATGGCATTGTGGCGCGCACCTTCCACAGACATTTCACTTGCTCTATTGGGAAATGTAGGGACTACATCCATGGCATGTAAGAGCGGCGGGCTGTGGAACCTCAAATCCCCCTTATAGCGCCAATTCCTAGTTGCAGACCTTGAACAAAATATGCGGCCTTATGAACGCGGCCCTTACATAACTTATATAGCCCTCTTCTGCTGGACTCCTTCCGGCAAAGACAGACACACTCCAGGAACAAAAACATTAAAAGCATCCCGACATAACCAACCACACAAATTACACCTTGATACATGCCCACAGAGGTGACCCCACAAGATGCGCACATGTGCTATAGGGTATCCCCTTCATAAGACCTATAATAAGAACCCTACATAATCCCCTAAATGAGCCCTGGACTAAATTTGTAGTACATCCCTTAATAGGTCCTTCCCAAACCCCTGTATAGTCCCCTATAGGTCCCCCCCAACCTAAAATGAGTCCATAGTTCATATAACCCCATTTAAGGAGTTTAGACTACAGCTCCCATTTTATTGTTTCATGCTCCCAAAAACAGCCGCACTCGTGGGCCTAAGGGCTGTGCATATGATGCGCTCCAACGCAGAGGCAACGCGCTACTCCGCCGGGGCGGGCCTAAATGGACTTCAGAAGCATCTGCCGAGTTGGGGAGTGAAGTCCCCCTTAAACCTTAAGTAGGTAGAATGTGGG